GCATCCCTGTAGGCATCTTCAATGAATTTTGGGTTATCTGGTGACACTTGTCGTGCTAAATATCTTATTTGAGTTTTATCTCGAGGTTTTTTAAAATATATTATATAACTTGAGTTTAAAGATATGTCTCTTTGCCCTTTACCCTGATGAAATAAATTTTGTGTTAAATAAAATACACTGAGATTCCTGTGATGACTACCTTTTGTAAATATATCTACAATTCTTCCATCGGACTCTCTCATTAGATCATCAATAATAACGAGATGTGGGTTTTCACCATCAAACATATTAAGATTTGGAATGCCTTGATGATAGTTAACATTTGGTAAATTATATAAAGGTTGCATTTCATCAAAGCACCATATGATCTGATTAAAATCACAATTACATATTTCTGTAACTGATTTTATGAAATTTGTTACAAAATTTGACTTCCCAGATCCACTTGGTCCTGCCACAATAGCAGTAAACGGATGTATAAAGTGAAACATTACACACGTCTAAAGTTCTAAGGGGTGAAATAAAAAATGAAAGTGTTGGTGTAAAAAATTAATATATATATATTGTGTACTATAACTAATGTTTTTTGGGAAATCAAACAAAATTTATGATTAATTGAAAATTTTATTTTCAAGCAATAACCACTTGTAAAAAACCCACACTTCGTCACAAGAACAATGTAAAATTTTGTGATTATTTTTTGCAATTATATGATTATTACACACATAATGTTTGTTTAAATTTATGACATTTACCAAATCATTGTATTTTGGACATTTGTATTCTTCAATATTAAAAATTCTATCATTCGTCGTCAACATTTTTAAAAATTGTTTTTCCGTTGAACCACCATTGTATGCGATCACTTCGTCTTTGCACAAATTTCTAATATACCAATTTAATATGGGGATGACGTTCTCTTGTTTGTAGGCACATTTTAATTCTTCGGTCACATCAAAATATGGAATGCCGTGCACGTGTGTTTCATAATAACGAACAGTTTTTTTGTCTTTTGGTGACAAATAATTGGCCGAAACAAATAATGATCGATAAACGCATCATTTTTATTAGATAGTTTTACGTCTAGAATAGCCATTTCTCTACATTGAAAATGTTTATGAGGATATGTGTTCAACAAACTTCACATAACAATGCTTCATTACTTCCCATCATCCCATTTCTTCCTTCTGCTCTTGTCTACCTGTAATTTAAGTAAACAGAATCACATTCACTAATGATCAACTAATGACTCTCATTGTTAAAAAAGTATTTTTTAAACTACTCTAGTATTCGTAGATGCAGTACACAGACAATATTTAAATATAATTTGTTAACACTAAATCATACACACGTAAGAAAATAACAGAAAAAAAGTAAGTTTGTCAATAGAATAAACACTTAAAATTGCGATTAACAATTTAATTGGTGCCGGCGGGGATCGAACCCGGGTACTGTGAAATTTACAGCTTGCGCTAACCATCTGAGCTACCACGGCTTAATATACACACACAATATTTAAATATAATTTGTTAACACTAAATCATACACACGTAAGAAAATAACAGAAAGAAAAGTAAGTTTGTCAATAAAATAAACACTTACATATATGGCCTTTGATGCGTTGAAGTAACACAAATGTAGTATTAATAGATCCACTGCAGTCAAACGACCATACACTAACTCCATGACTGCAGTTGCTTGGTCTTATATAGTACCAGTGAGTAATAATTCTAATCTAAAGAATTTCTGCATTAGAATTGATAGATAGTAACTTTATGCGTCAACAAGCTTATCTCACATTATGTTGTTAATCTCAACATTCCTTCGTCCTTCCTGTCGTGTCTTGTTCAGTGTATTGATGACTCAAATACGTTTTGTATAACACAAAGAATGCAATTTAATATTTAGAAATCACTATAATTGATCATTCCTATATTAGTCATTGAGTAGATTGGTACTGTACAAAAAGATGTACTACAACATCTGAAAAAGATTCACCCCACTCTAGAAAATAATGTTTATGCTGCCAATAAACTACCCATGTACAACCACGTACCAACGTATATAATATGCAATTTGGATACAGATGATAAACCAGGGTCACATTGGGTAGCTTTATATATCGATACGAATGACGTCGGTCAATATTTTGATTCATTCGGACGGGCACCTGTACGATATCATCTAGAGTTTTTTAAAAGAAATTGTAAAAGATGGAACTGGAATGTTGATAGGATTCAGAATGAGTGGACTTCAGTTTGTGGCGAATATTGCTTAATGTATTTGCTATATAAGTTTCAGGGATGTTCAATGCATAGTTTTACGAGTGTAGTTACAGGGAACACATTGTACAACTATATTTTAGTGGATGAGATGTTTCGCTCCTATTTTATAGATAATAAGTAATAAGATTTTGTATTTTGTAAATAAAAATTTTAACAAAATTAGGTAATGTGTTTTATTGATGAGTCAGATTAGTGTAGATAGGAACAAAGGAGAACAATAGCACCACGCTGAGGAAGAATAGATAATGACGGTATTCAATGAATAATAGATAAGTAGATAAGAACAATGGAGCGCTAATGACAGTGGAGGCCTTCACCGGATATCAATTAGATAAGAGTTTAAGAGTTAAGTGACCTGCACATCTCCGGAACCGTGCATCCTATGCAAAAATGCCAAAACCTTTTTTTTTTTAGGATCATGAGTCGACGAACGTCGTACTGGTACCACTTCTGACTCAGTACGCCAGAACTGGTACAACGTAACTACTCTTGTACCACTTCTGACTTAGTGCGCTAGAACTGGTACAACGTAACTACTCTTGTACCACTTCTTACTCAGTGCGCCAGAACTGGTACAACGTAACTACTCTTGTACCACTTCTAACTCAGTGCGCCAGAACTGGTGCAGCGGAACTACTCTTGTACCACTTCTGACTCAGTGCGCCAGAACTGGTACAACGTAACTACTCTTGTACCACTTCTGACTCAGTGCGCCAGAACTGGTACAACGTAACTACTCTTGTACCACTTCTGACTCAGTGCGCCAGAACTGGTACAACGTAACTACTAACGTTGCGCGCATTACGGTAGACATAGACCCTTCACAGTCGACTCTTCAACATTTGGTGCCCAAATTTGAAACGACCATTTTGGTAAACAATCAGCCAACATCCGTAGAAGATCCAACTTACTCAGGAGTTCAAACTTCATTACCATAGTCGCTGACTGGGCTTCAAATCGTTTGGAAGAGGACCCCAATTTTGCGCATTTTGTGGATGAATGACTGCTTTTACAAGCAAAATTACCGTATATGGGACGATACCTATCCATGTAAGGTTCACTAGGTGATTGGACCATACTTTTTCGAAAACGACACTGGTGTGGCAGTCACCGTCAGCGGCGAGCGCTACAGAACGATGATAACCAATTTCTTATGGCCCAAATTGAACTATATGGACCTAGAGGACTTGTGGACCAGCAGGACGGCCCTACAAGCCACACAGCAGACGCCACGATTGACATTCTCCATGAGCGATTTGAGGGTAAGCTTATCTCTCGCTGGGGTGATGTGAATTGGCCACCAAGGTCATGCGATTTGATCCCGCTAGACTTTTTCTTGTGAGATTTCTTGAAGTCGAAGGTCTATGCAAACTAACCACAATCGACCGATGCCCTAAAGATGAACATAACGCAGACGATCGCTCAAATTCAGCCACTTGGAAAATTGGACCACTGGGATCTGTGCCACTGCACACACCACGCATGCACGCATGCACGAATGCACTCACCCACGCACACACAAACGCCCACACGCACTCCCACCCGCAAGCACACCATTACGCACGCACCCTCGCACGTACGCACGTTTGCACGCACACACACACACACACACACACACACACACACACACACACACACACATACATACAAGCACGCACGCACGCACGCACGCACCCACCCCCTAAAATATCTAATATCAATTCAAATATCTCTTCGAGGTCTATAGAAAAGTTCCGTTCATGGAATTTTTTTCTATGGCTTCTATTTTTTGCTAATTTCTTCTCATGCATTATGAATATGTCGGGATTAATACGTTCTTAACTAGACCTGACATTTAGTAGGTAAGGAGAAAGTCTCTTGCTTCCGTCAATAATTGATTTACAGTCGGTGAGTCAGTAATTCGAGCGAGTGAGCAGACAAGTGGTTGTGTGATGTACTCGTATTTTATCACTTCCCTTTTCACTTTACTAACAGAGTAAGTACATTCAGTTTTAAAGCTTAATCCCGTGGGATGTGATTTTTCCTAACATCGCGAAATTTAAATTTATAGACGATATTTTGCATAAAATCCTTTAACATTCTCGACATAGGAATTGGGACGAGCTCCCTGTTATCGCTCATTTGAAGGATTGGAAAGATGCTGCCTCCCGTAGTTTGCATGAGAGTGTAAATAAATATAAGTTCTTAATTCCACGTTGTAACTCACATCTTTTGAATTGCAATGTTGACGAAAAAAGTATAAGAAATACTGAGCAAATGAACTGCTGAAATATCCTGTCTTTCTATTTTCTTAATGTAATTTCATAATGTCGTGACTTAAATCATAATTCAAGGCTAAAATACGAATATATCAAAATGTATTACTTAATTTTTATCCTTTTCACATTTTATACAAACAGATATTTACAAATTTTGCATATATCACGTAACTAAACAAATACTTTCGTCCGCTGGTAACAGATCATTCCACCATTAAACCTTGACCTCGAGCTGACATACAACTGACGTTAAATAAACGAAATATACAACTTTAGTGTATAAATGCTTAATAATATGGTAATAAATTCCGCAGCCGTTATTAACTCAGCCCGATAACGCGCAGTATGTTCGCGGGGCAAAACTCGAATGCCCGCGTCATGCTCCACGTTGTGTTTTCATCGTAAATATTTTTGACTGAGTATAAGCTTAAGATAACTTAAAATAATGGCGTTTGTAATGAGAAAGTGGTTCATTAATGTGCGAACTTTAAACAGATATAACAAACTGTGTGTGTTAGAACAAAGAGTAAGTTTTGTATTTCACTTAATTACTTGGTAAATATTACAGTCATTATATCATCTAAGTATTTTCGCACGCGATTTCATAACAATAATTTATAATAGATGAAAAATTTTGTACATAAACTCTCAATATTTCTTTGATTATACTAAATATTTAGATCTAGATAACTTATGAATAATACATAGTTATCCAAAGGACCTACACGACGGTTTTAGAATCGCAACCCGTAGAGAAATTTTAATTACTTGTAATTATGTTTTAAATATCACGGGTTTTTAAAAAAATCAATTAATTTCTTATAGTTATACTTTTTAATATGAGTAAAAATAATAATACAACTAGGATAACCGGTATGTGCGGTGCGATTTATGAAGCAGGTTATGAATTACCGACAGCGCCTTACTACATTAAGGAACGCTTGCCTTCATGTTTCTTTGTACGACCTCCTCAGTCGTTCTGATTTACCCGAGATAACACGTACAAAACAAACCTAAAGCTTATCATAAGTAAATAATAATTTAATAAAATCAGTTGATATGAGTATACCAATGAATGTGGTTGGTAATTGAAACAAATAAAAAAAGTGTTTTATTAAGAGAAGATTTTAAAAACTATACTGGTATGCACTGATTAATAAGTAACCTATGCGATCAACTATAAATTCACTGACGAACATAGAATTTCGCAAAGGCGGGTGAAAACCACCCTGATGAGCCTCCTGCATTAATTAAGGGGTCGCCAATACGTTTGCCAATTTCAACTTTAAAATTCGTGTTACTTCAATAAGAACACAATATTTTTAATCTATTGGTTATTTATCTGCAAATGTAATGAAAATTCATTTATTTCAAAAATATTACACAAGCATAATATTTCAATAACGACGATACAGAAAAACGGCCTTATGGCTCAAATTCCAGCCACGTAAGCAACCTAAGGAATATCATCCTTTTGTGTACCTGATGCCAGCCCAGCATAGAATACTATAATACACAATAGAATGCGTGTAATGAATGAACTACGAATGAATGAATGAAATGCGAATGAACTACCTGCTGGTATTATACACCTAAAATAGCGAACGGACACACTAGCTGCTGTGAATTACTCCAATATATCTCCCTAAATATACTATACAATATCTCGTCGTCCAATAACAAAACTGTTACAGACTCCTAAATCCAGGACTAACATAAATAAAATTGATTGTTTTGACATAGGGTCAAACGCCCTCGGTATCGCGAATGTGTGCCACCTTTAGTTGACTCTGTGGAGTGTTGCCTACTGTCAATATTTTTCATGATATTTTCTGATATGTACGAAAACGTAATAACTAACTATTATAAATGTCTAATCTAACATCCATTTCCCTTAACAGCTGCTACCTGGTTATATGCATGTTTTTATTGTCTAAGTTTTATTATATTATTTTGGGTATTATTTTTTGCGACTTATTTCTTTATAAGTTTTGCAACTTTGCTTTGTCTTAATTTGATAGATTTTATTTATTTATTTATTTATTTAAAACTTCATATACACAAGTGGTATATAGGCGGACTTAATGCCTAAGGCATTCTCTCCCAGTCTACCTTGGGATGATGCAGAGATAGAATGAAGTAGGTGTAATAAAAAGTTAATATGCGAATACTAAAATAAAATAACAAAAAAAATTGTAATACATGGAAATAAAATACATAAGATATAAATGGTACATCGCAAATAAATAGATAAAATTACATTAATATTCATACACATATATGTATATAAAATATATAATATACATAATTACAATAAGAATATACATATATACACATATAAACATACATATAACACATATATATACACATATATATATACATATACATACATACACACACATACATACATATATACACATATACATACACATACACATGTACAACCAGTGCGTGTTGCCAGTGATGACTTACGGATCAGAGACGTGGTCCTTCACTGCTGGCCGTATGAGGACGCTGGTTCTGCCAATGATGAGGATGATGATTCTGCCAATTTATTAAGTAAGTGTTCCCGAACCTTCATCTTGAACGCGTACCGATTGCTAGCCGTCCTGATTTCGAGAGGGAGTGCGTTCCAAAGGAGAATAGATTGAATGTGGAAAGAAGAATGAACAAGTCCAGAGCTATGGGATGGACATAGGAGAAGAAGGTTGTTCGTAGAGCGGAGGTTTCTTTCATGACTAGCACTAAGCAACTGAAAGTGAGGAGATAAGTAGGAAGGGGAAGTTGGAGACATCAGGATAGAATAAAGGGTGGTGAGTGCACGCAAACTACGGCGTTGACGAATAGGTAACCATTTTAATTGAGATCGATACGTGGATACATGGTCATACTTTCGAAGATTGAAAATGAATCGAATGCAGTTATTCAGAAGACGGTCATATTTGTTGAGAAGATCTGCATTCAGGTCGAAATAACACACATCACCGTAGTCGATTAGGGGAAAAATTAAACTCTGCACAAGCATTGCCTTAATTTCAGATGGTAGAAAATTTTTTAGGCGATAGAGAGAACGCAGGGTACCAGTGACTTTCTGGCTAACGGTCGTTGTTTGGGCTTTCCAACTCAAAGTAGAATCAATTAATAAACCTAGGTCCTTCACAGTGGAACACAATTGAATCTCAGTACTATTAAAAAAGATAGGAGGTAGAGCTACTGTTTTCAATCTCTGGATCATCGGACGGCTACCAATTATTATGGCCTGACACTTCGAAGGGTTGACCATTAGGCCAAACCTGTCAGACCAGTTCTTAATGTACTCAAGGTCCCTGTTAAGTGTGTCCACCGCTGTAGAAATATCGTCAATACTCGCTTGTGTGTACAATTGCAAGTCATCAGCATACAGATGATACGCAGACTGAAGGTTTTGAGTAATGAGATTAATAAATATAGAAAACAACAAAGGAGATAATATGCCGCCTTGAGGGACACCAGCATGTATGTCAAGCCAGCTAGATGATAGCTCATCGATGCGAACCGACTGCTGGCGCCCTCGAAGATATGATGAAAACCAATCCAGTGCTTCGGGTGAGATCATAGAAAGGGAAAGGATGGAAATTAGAATGTCATAACTAATGGTATTAAAGGCGTTCGAGAAGTCAACCAAAACCAACACAGTGACTTTAGTGTCCTCTATGCCTGCCCTAATATCACCAGTTACTTTCAGGAGTGCGGAAACGGTACTATGACCGGGCCTAAAGCCAGACTGCAAGGGACTTAATAAGTTATTACGAGAGATAAACTGCGAAAGTTGCTTGTGGACACAGGCCTCAAGGACCTTGGATAAGAAGGGAAGGATGGATATAGGTCGGAAATGATTGGGTAAAGTGGGATTTGGGATCTTTTGTAAGGGAATAACGTAAGCCTTACGCCACAGTGAGGGAAAATTACCAGAATCCAAGGAGAAGTTAATGATGTGCGAGATGACTGGGAGGATATGGTCAAGTATATAGATAATCATCCGTCGGCTGATGTTGTCGTAACCTACAGCATTAGATTTAATGGAAAGGATTATCTTCTTGATCTCATCAACAGCTACTGGAGAAAATTGAAACAGATTAATATCAGGACGAGGTAAACCCATTAAGTGTTCAACAGTAAGACGCTTGGTCTGGTGATCAAGAGGACTGTTGGAGACAAAATGAAAATTGATATCATCCAGACCAATCGTCCTTTGAAACTCACAACGGTGTCGTTTACCGATACCTATGGTTCCAAGGAACTTCCAGATATTAGCAGGGGAAGAAGATGAGATATTACTAAGAATAAATCGGCGTTTGGCGTTGCGTATCATCTGATTGCACCGATTCCTTGCAACTTTATAAAGAGTCCAGTTTTGATCACATCGATCTCTTCTAAATTTGCCGAAAGCGCGATCCCTACGTCTCATCGCAATCCGAACCCCAATCGTCATCCAAGGCGCAGGTGGACGCTTGAGCTTCACTTTTTTGATGGGAGCATGTACGTCATATAATTTAAGGATAGCTTCATTCAAAGCCCCAACTTTTTCATCCACAGTGGGTGCAGAAACCACGCTGTTCCAGTTTATTTTGGATGCATCCACACAAAGCTTTTCAACATCCAAGCAACCAAAACAACGCATGTGTAGAGTTTTAGCTGGAGGTTTAGGAGGTTTAAGGACGTAAGAAAGGAAAATGAGGTCGTGATAGGAGAAAGCAGGTGCAAAGTGTTGACCGTGGCAGAAGACAAGAGAAGGAGCAGAGGTAAGGATTAAGTCAAGCCAGGTATCCTCCACATCAATATTGTGGTGAGTGGCTTGTAAAGGTAAAATGTGGAGGCCAACCGAATCGACAATTTGAAGGAGCTTAGAGGAACGGGTTAAGTGCGGAGTGAGGAGATCTGTATTAAAATCGCCCATGATGACGTGATGTGAGTATTCCGACCCCAAGGATTCCAGAATTGTTTCAAGACTGGAGAAGTAATCGACAGAAGGAGGACAGTAGACAACGCCAAGTACTAATTTGGCTCCTTTTACGCAAACTTCAAGGAAAAAGAAATTCTGCAGATGCAGTATAATAGGGGGAAGAAGAAGCTAGAATTTTATAAGAAAAGTCAGAACGAAGATATATAGCGACCCCACCCCCTCTCCTATCAATTCGATCGTTGCGTATCAAACTGAAGCCAGAGAGAGGGTAAGAGGTAGAAGGAAGATGGGGCTTAAGCCAAGTCTCCGAAATCAAGACGGCATGAACATCAGCGTCAGAAAAAGCCTCAATCAGATCACTGTAATGACTAGGTACGCTCTGTGCATTAATGTGGCAAACATTAAACAAAGAGCGGGATTCATCGAATTTATGTCGCACAAAATCCCCTAACGTTTCAGTAATAGAGCAATAACTGTCATTTGATGAAGAAAACTCGTTGGCAGAAAGAAAAGAATCATCATCGGAACTCATCTATATGTAATAGAATATATAAAAATAAATAAATAAATAGACCTAAAATATA